GGCGTTATCTAGTCCCAGTACCAACGATCCACCTGTCCAGCGATTCCAAGAACGAGGACTACTGAAGGACCCTTCTGGTCACAACCAGCATGGACCTACTGTAGAGCAGACTGAGCTTTTATCGCAAGATGCTCGACGGCCGCCCAGCTCAGCAAGCTCATTCCCAACATCGGTCTCACCGCTAGCCTCGGAAAACACAGTGCACGATGCCTTTTGGGGCCAGTTGTTTTTGATATCTCTCGCGGGATTGTTTGCTTCTGCATTTCTTGTGTGGCTCAACACATCTACACCATCTGGGGACAAATCAAGATGGGGTGATACAATATACATGACTGTCCATGGATCTTTCTTCCTCCTCGGGATATATACTATTGTATCGATTCTTGTGTCCCTTCTGTGGTTGGCTTTACTTCGATCCTATGTGCGACTTCTGGTCCATGTGATTCTAGTCGCCGTTCCCATTATCTTATACTCTTTCTCCTTATATCCTTTCATCTCAAGTTTCAAGGGACCATGGCATGGGATGAGCGTCCAAGACAAGGCGATGAGATGGGGCTCTGCTATCCCGTTTCTCACAGCTACCATATGGATCTACAATGTTGTGCGTGGCCGTCAGTCTATAGGGAAGGCCATAGGCATTCTTGAGTTTGCCTGTCGAATCTTGGCTGCCAATCCCGAGCTTCTTGCTCTTGGTCTGGGTGCCTTGGTCTGTGTTGTTTCCTGGACATGGATCTGGATGCTGATGTTCACTCGCGTTTTCTTGGGCGGTCATCTCGTTGGCTCAAAATCGTTCATTATTGACGTGGGTAGCTGGTGGCTCGGCATCTACTTCGTTGTTGTTTATCTATGGTCGATCGGTATCATTGCAGGCATCCAGCGTGCCGTCACTGCTGCAACAGTGAGCCAGTGGTATTTCCATCGTTTAGCCACACCTGCCCCCACCTCGAGGCAAATTATTCAGGCAGCCATCGTTCACGCCGCCACAACTCTCTTCGGCACGATCTCTTTGTCTAGACTACTGGGCCTACTGGTTCGAGTTCCTCTTCTCTTATTACCACGTCACATCTCTTCATTGCTCAGTCTGTTCGCCTATTCACTCGTCCCTACCCCAATTACTTACTTGACCAATCCTCTTTCTCTCACTTATGCAGCGATTCATTCGCAGCCCCTTTCCGCTTCCTCCCGGGGGTTGAGCCAAATGACAATTCTTGCACCATCGGCGGCCTCAACCTCTTTACACCCCCGTTCCTATTCTCGATACCCTGGGAACTCCGGGTCTTTACTATCATATCAACTGTCCAAGTTGATCCTCTACGCTGCGCGATTCATGATGTCCTTGGCCTTAGGATTTGGTGGTTGGGTCACCACTGCTCGGAGCCTGACAACCTCTGCGTCCGGTGGCACCATTCGTGGCAGTCTTTATGCCTATGTCGTCGGCCTCATTGCTGGAACAATTGGCTGGACCACACTGGGTGCAATGGAAGGTGTGATCGCAGATATCGTCGATGCAGCGGTCATTTGCTGGGCAAGCGAAGTCGGTATTTACGGCAGAGAAGCCCGGTATTGCCGTGAGGCTGGTTGGCTCTTTGGTGACTCGCAGCCTCGCTTCGGACATGAATATCAAGAGGTCTAGCGGGAGAGGGAGATTTGTCTTTCTTCATCTTATAAGTCCCTAACTTATGCACCATTTCTTTTGTACGATTGAGCGGTTATAATATTTCCATATCCTTTAGCGAAATTCTTGACTTGACAAGCAAATATATCCTGCATTTACATTTCGGAGGCAAGTGATGCCAAAGCAGCTCTCTGAGAACATAATGTATTATTTTGCATCCCCCATGGTATATTCGAATTGCAAATAGCTACATGAAAATCCAGGGCTCGTGGTATCATGAGAAAATAGTATGAAGGGAAAGGCAAATGACCTGTGGGAAAAGAAAAGAAAAACATGAAACAAAAAAGCTAAGGCCCTCCCCTGAGACGCCAGATGAAGCATATTCCGAGCGACGGAAGAACAAGAAAATAAGGAGACAAGTATGAATGATAACAAATATGAATGATGAATTAGAGACCGAGCCGTCCATTCCATTCCACTCGTTCATTCGAGCACCATTCTTTTAGTAGGGACCAGCCAAACCGAACCACTTCCATCGGTGGTGTAGTGCTACCAAGTGGTAGGAAATAGCTTCCAGCATAGTCACCAGCCTTGAGAGATGATCGGCCTCGTTCTGAGTAATTTCGAGATCGCTGGGACCAGATCGTGGGGAACTCACGGCCAAGGACATCTTCGGACAGACCCCGGGTGCCCTCTATCCATAGTCTCTGGGACTCCTTGTAGCACTCAGGAAGACGAGCCTTCAAATCTGAAAATTCCTTTCTGCTTTTCCTGTTCTCATCCAAGAGGGCTGTGTGTCCGTCACTCCCAGGCGTGGGAACCGGGGTGTGCTCTCCAGGAATTGGGCTTATCGCGAGGCGTTCAAGATCGAGGGTGTGAATGGCAGTGAAGGAGACAGCCCCAAGGAGCAAACAGAGACTGTTCAATGCCGGATATGGTACACTGTTCTTCCTGACTACACGCCAGTATGGCACAATAGACAGCCATGTTGAGGAATCCCCGACCTGGCGTGATGACGCCTTGGCCTGGTCGTTCGCTACGAACGCCATAATAAAGGACAACAACGCTTCGATTGCAGTCACAACAGCTAGCTTTTCGTCAGTGACCGAGGTCCCGGTTTTCGACGTATGCCGCTCTGCGGCATGTTTCAATTCACGACCGATGCTCGCAAACTTTTGCCACTCATCCCACCATACCTGTCGCTCATTGCGCGTACGACCATCCGCCTGTGTCGGAGAAGTTTTCATGATTGACCCGGGATCGACCGAGTGACGCTTGTTGGAGGTATAAGGAGTTTTGCCATCATTCTCTCCGACATCGTGCCGACGAGATGTAGGAGGTTTTAGGTCTCTCGGGTCTTTCACCGGAGTGATGGAAGCTGCTTTGGGTTTATCATGGGCGATTGAATGAGAGGTCAAGTGTGGCTGAGGAACCGGCGTTCGAGGCTTTTCGGGGAAGCTTCTCGGCTCCTTTGAGCGACCATATTGAGGGCCAAGGGCTTCACCAGTCTCATTTTTCTTGCCCTTCGGATCCCCCGATGTGTGCCCACGAGTCGAACCAGTATCTCCTCCCTTCTTCCTGAAATGGGAGATATCATCACGATCGGTATCCTGGCTGACCGGCGAATCCGACAGATGCGCTCTCCTTTTACCAGAAAATTTAAGCAAAGCTTCAACACGCTTTCGGTTCGCTCTTCCATATCGCAGTTTGGTAAGAAGCTGCGTCCTTTGTGGGTCGGCACGAGCGTGGTCTCTTGAATGTTCGTGGGTATTGGATTCTTTGGCAGGCAATCCCTTTCCTACCCGACTATTGCGAGGCGGTGAACTGTCCTCAAGACGGGCCAACTCCTTTTCGATGTCTGGAGGGAGGGTAGGAGATAGCAAGCGCGGAAGTCTGGGGCCACCCGATGTCGGTGGGAGAGTAGGCGAAAGAAGTGCGGGCAGCTTGGGGGAATGCGATTTGGCAGGGCTGGGCGCTCGGCGTGTCTCTTTCTCGGGAGATAGTCGCAGTTTCTTTGTGAGATGTGCTTCGGACTTCTTAGTCGCTGAGGGGTTAGAGAATTCAGGTTCCGACCCAGATGGCCGTTTCTGGCCCGCTCTTTCGGGAGAGAGACGCACATGTGACTTCGGCGGTAGTCGAGGCATTTTAGTCTTGTCAGTATTCTTGAGAGGCTCCGAAGATGTCATCTGCCGTCTTTCTTCGGACTTGGCGGAGCTTGACGCGCCTCGGCTACCTGCTTCGAGGCCAATGGGGGGTGCGACAGCGACACTGGTCTTCTGAGTCTTGTAGTCCTTGAGACTAATTTTCTTTTTGGCCACGGTTTCTCTTGAAGTTTCTCCAGCGCTTGGGACTGTCGATCGATCGGCCATCATGCGCCCCGTTTCGTCTGACCAGTCCCCAACGGCTAGAAGCAATGAGTCTGTGTCGTGGTGTGTCAAGAAGGTCATATATTGTAGTTGCTGCTCCTCCAAGCTAAAGGGTCTGTCATGCCCTACAGCCCAATTGTTGGCGGACCGGTTCCCCAGGTTAAACGGTGTTTTGGTCGGAAATGTGAGCAAATATGGAACGGGGGGAGGACGTTGTCGGAGAGGCGTTGCAATCGTTGGTCAAGCACTTCACGGTCCGACGTCGGGGAACTCGCAGCTCGGGGGGTTGTCGTGGTTTGGGAATGGCGGTTCTCGTTCACCGACATCGCAGTGCGCGGGGGTTCGCGATTTGTTCTTCCACAAGAGATGCTGGTATCATACGCGCTTCGAGCACAATTCGGGCCCAAGTCTATCACCTAGTCCTGTTTCTCGAGTCGGTATGGCAAGTTGCCTGATGATACTCAACGCATTGAGCCAAGTGAAGGATATTGGGTGTACAAGATCCGGCCTTGTTCAGGTGCCGAATAATCAGGGCATCCTATCACTATCGCGCGTGGGGGGGTGTTCCCATAACCCTGGGACTTCGAAGCCGCGCAATTGGGAGGTAGAAATAAACGCAGTCGAGGTAACAAAGAAAAAGTGGGATGTGTCACAATGAGAGGGTGACCTCTTTCCATGAAGGAGCGAGAGATGGGAAATGTCCCCGGATAGAATGAAAGAGACAGATGAATTGGAGAAAGGTTACGTTAGGTCGGTTACGGTTCCTGTTGCTTATCGGCTTATCGTTACCGTACCAGTTCATTACATACAATACAAGAGTATAAGGTACAAGAGTATACGTAGTTATCCCATTGATGAACATTTGAAGATCCTTTATAACTATACATAATTAGTTATGTGTACATAGTTACATGTATGTACATGTAGGATGTATGTGCTTTTGCCATCTTGATACGATATTACCTAGGTAGGGAATGAATCTATAAAATATGCCAGCTTTGTTCCTGAAGCCTCAACATTCAGGAACGATCATCCTCTGCAAACTTCTCACGCCAGAATGCACGGTAATGGTGCTGCTCGCCTATCGTAGAGATCTCGTCAACCTCTTGAGGTGTCAGTTTGAACGTAAATGTGCGTAAATAGCTGCTTAGGCGGGATTCTTTGCCACTGGTGGTAATAGACACACAGCCACGGTCAATGGTCCAGTGTAACAAGATCTCGGACTGGCTGACTGCATATTTGGTGGCCAAGGAAGAGAGCAGAGGGTCCAATGGCCCACCCTGAGCCCGGGTGGCAGGAGTGAGACCACCATAACTAACAGTCTTGATACCTTTACTCTCTTGGTAGGGAACAAGATTGCCATGTTGAAGGTAAGGATGAAATTCAATCTGATTCACAGATGTACCACTTTAGCGGTTTCGAGAATTGTCTCCAAGTCATTTTGGAGGAAATTGGACACGCCAATCGACCGGGCCTTCCCAGATGCCTTTAATTGCTCCATAGCGGCCCAGGCAGCTTGAAGCTCTTCCTTTGACTTTGTGAAGAATGGAGAATGGATCAAGTACCTGCTCCAATCGTCAACAGCGGTTCCCGAGCGAGCCATCCCTCACACCACGTTGGAATTCACTTACAGGTCCACATAGTCAAGCTGGAGCTTCTTGAGACTGGTATCAATGGCCTGAGGAATATCGGCGATATTGGTGATGACCTTGGTTGCCACGATGAGCTTCTCTCGAGACACCCCGCTCTCTTTGATGCCTGTCCTAGTTCCTCCTCGGTCTGGTAGACTTCAGCGCCATCGAGATGGCGATACCCTATTTTCGTTGCCGTCTTGATTGATTCGACCAATTCACGATTTATACCGGTGTCGGACCTCTTAAACCATGCTGTGCCAGTGCCATACCCAACCTAGATGTTTTAGAGAACTTTGCCCGTATTACGTGGGGGTAACGACGGTATTTACTCACGATAGGGATCGAGATACCATGATTGAGGTCCAATGTCCAATGTAGGAATAGATGCAATATGGTTTGCCATGATTCCAATCTATTTCAAAAAGGGCAAAAATATACTTATACTGTAGGAAGATGAAAGGTGGAAGTCGATAACTTCGACCTTCATCTGCCCCCGTGGCCCGCGCGGGCCTGGGCAATGATTAATAATGGGGAAATTATGTCATTTCTAAATCCTAGGAGCTCCGTCTCCATACTTCCTCGTCAATACTTTTAGAACCTTCACTTGAATTCATATTGCATTACTTTAGGTCTCTCTCTATGAACTTCCGCGTGCTTGCGTGTTCAAGAAATTGGTATATGTTTCCACGCAGCTTTCGGCCACTGTCGGTTCGGAATCGTTTAAACAAAATGGTATCACATCTTTCAACTGCCGGGGTCTCTCTGGCTGAATTACCGAAATCACATGTTTTCACTTCTAAATTGCCCTCCGATCCGGCTTTTGAAACACCGGAATCCTCGCATAAGGCTCCAAGGGAAACTTTAGGGCCTCGCATGGTCAAAGGAGCTTTGTTCACATACATTCGCCCAGAGCAGACCGATGACCCAGAACTACTGGGAGTCAGTTTGAAAGCGATGAAAGACTTGGGATTGAAACCAAACGAGGAACAAACATCACAATTTAAGGCACTGGTCGCCGGGAATGAAATTTGGTGGAACGAGGAACAGGGTGGAATCTACCCATGGGCACAGTGTTATGGAGGTGAGTATCAACATCGTCATGCATGAGAAATGCAAAAGAGACTAACATGAACAGGGTGGCAATTGTAAGTTACGAAAGGAGCTAGGGGTGTAATGTTAACGGCTGACAACATGTAGCGGTTCATGGGCCGGACAACTTGGAGACGGGGTGAGTTAATAAGTTAACATGCAACCAAATCCTCGGCTCCCTAGATATACTAATGACCGGAAAATTAGCGTGCAATCAGTCTCTTCGAATGTGCCAACCCGGAGACAAATACGCGGTATGAGCTGCAACTGAAAGGAGCAGGCAAAACACCCTATTCGCGTTTCGCAGATGGCAAAGCTGTCCTCCGGTCAAGTATCCGTGAATATGTGGTCTCAGAAGGTAAGAAACCCTATATGAAACCCGAGGACAGACCACTGAAAGATTTCTAGCACTCTCTGCCCTCGGTATACCAACCACTCGGGCACTCTCACTCACGTTGGTTCCTAATGCCAGGGTACTGCGAGAGCGTCTTGAGCCAGGAGCAATCGTTGCCCGGTTTGCTGAGAGTTGGCTAAGAATCGGCACCTTTGATCTTCTTCGCGTTCGCGGAGATCGCGAGCTGATCAGAAAGCTTGCGACATATGTTGCAGAAGACGTCTTTGGTGGATGGGAATCCCTTCCCGAAATTGTATCGCTGCGGGACCAGCAGTCTTCCACGCAAATCGATAATCCCCAAAAGGGGTATTCCTGGCGATCAAGTACAAGAACACCAGGATGTACAAGAAAATCGATTTGCTAGACTGTATCGAGAAATCGCCCGCCGCAATGCCACGACAGTGGCCGCGTGGCAGGCCTACGGCTTCATGAATGGCGTGCTGAATACTGACAACACATCCATTTATGGCTTGTCGCTAGACTACGGCCCGTTTGCGTTCATGGACAACTTTGATCCCCAGTACACCCCGAACCATGACGACCACATGCTGCGATACGCCTATCGCAACCAACCCAGCATTATCTGGTGGAATCTTGTCCGGCTCGGGGAGTCACTAGGCGAGCTGATCGGGGCTGGAAACCGGGTTGACGATGAGAGCTTCGTCAACGATGGGGTGACAGAGGAGTTTGAACCGGAACTCGTCAAGCGCGCGGAGAAGATTATTGAGCGTGTGGGCGAGGAGTTCAAAGCAGTATTCCTAAACGAATACAAGCGCTTGATGGGCCAAAGGCTAGGACTGAAAACACAGGCCGAGTCAGACTTCCAAAATCTTTTTTCAGAGATGCTGGACACACTTGAAGCACTCGAACTGGACTTCAACCACTTCTTCCGCCGGCTTTCGGGGATGCCACTGTCTAACCTAGATACCGAAGAAGGCCGAAGGGAAGCGGCCTCGGTCTTCTTCCACGCTGAAGGTTTCGGTGGGATTGGATATACCGAGGCTACAGCTAGAGATCGCATTGCGAAATGGCTGGATAGTTGGCGGCTTCGCGTCCTAGAGGACTGGGACCCCACAAACGACGAGGAAAGACAAAAGGCCATGAAATCGGTCAACCCGAATGTAAGTACCTGTTCGAATTCCTTTCTTTTTTTCTTTTTTCCTTTTTTTAAAAAATCCGGTGACTAACCCATTGATAGTTTGTGCCTCGAGGGTGGATTCTCGACGAGCTCATCGAACGTGTGGAGCGCAAAGGAGACCGAGATATTCTTGGCCGGATCATGCATATGTCTCTGAACCCGTTCAACGATGGATGGGATCTCCACAAAGAAGAGGAAGAGCGTTTCTGTGGGGATGTCCCCAAGTACAAGAGGGCTATGATGTGCAGCTGCAGTTCGTAATCAAGCTACGAGCGCTATGCAAATTTCAACTCTCTGGGAGGCGAATGTGTGATATGCCTTTTATAAAACAAGGAATCAGAATGGAGTTGGGCTACATAGCAAATGCGTCGACACGAGATAGGCTGAGAGAATTTAAAACGTGCAATTACTCGTATGGGTATTTGCCAGGCTTTCCCTACATATATGTACTTCACATTATACGCGTTATCAAAAACCCCAGGAAAATTACCAAACAACCTAGGTAAGAGGCATCAAAAGTTAGATCATGTCAACCTTGTCAGTTGTTGATCTCTAGTCATACATTTTCAGGAGAAAAAAAAGAGAAATTCGTTTCGTGCATGCATGAAAAATGTCGTCCAATCCCATGGAAACTGTAGAAAGATGTTGACCAAAAGAGCAATGCAGGCAATGGGCAATGGGCACCTTAGTTAGGGCAAGCGGACTGAACGTGCCCGGGCTGCTTGCACTTGTAGCACATGCGCTCACCCTTGGCCTCAGTGGGGCAGTCGCGAGAGACATGACCGACTTCGCCGCCTAATCATGAGTTAGTAGCAGATTCCAGACAAAACGAGAGGACACCCAAGATCACTGACAGTTGTAGCACTTCTGACCCTGAGTGCAGTCACGGGCCATGTGGCCGAAGCCACCGCAGGAGTAGCAGGTCTGTTGACGACCACCGGCACCACCAGGACCACCGAAACCACCACCGTATCCGCCAGCGCTGTATCCACCGCCGTAGTTACCACCCTGAGAACAGTTGCGTGCAATGTGGCCGACCTGTCCGCACTTGTAGCACTCTTGGGAACCACCACCGCTGTAGTTGCTGTCGCCACCCTGGGGGCATTCGCGAGAAAGGTGTCCGGTCTGGCCGCAACGGTAGCATGACTTCTCCTTGGCAGGTTCCTGACATTCACGGCCTTTTTTTGGGGGGTGAAATGTTAGTGTAGTCCAGAGTCTGCGAGCTTCAACTTCAACTTACTCAAGTGACCTTGGCCTGTAATTGTGTGACTTGATTAGCAAAGTTCTTATAACCCATCCAAATGTCTAATGGACAATTTTTGAGATGAGCATACCGTTGCAGTTGTAGCTATTGGAAGACTGGATTAGCTTTTTAAATTGACAAATCCCAAGGTAAAGGGAGAATTTACCAAGTAGGGTTTCCCTTCTTAGGGCAGTCCTTAGCCTATACAAAAAGGCAGATAAGCCTCTCTCCTTTCCTTTTTTCGTTCAAATTTTCAGAGGGAAGTCAGGCAAAGGTTGTATTTACCTGGTGAGAGGCCTCGCCGCCTATAAAAGAAGAGCGTTAGTTAGAAAAAGAAAATATTCCAAAAAAATACAAAATCAGGTATCAGGTATCAGGTATCAGGTTGCGCAATAGAAGTCACAAGAGAGTCTTCCATTTCGAATTCCCACACAAGTTTCAAAGTGAATATGACGTATTTCACACTTTTGAATCGAATATCGAATTGACTCCAGTTGAAGAAAAAAAAAAGAACATACAGTTGAAGCAGCCACCACGTCCAGCAGGGGGAAGTCCATATTTTGGAATATTGGGGAGGTTTTATAAGAAAAAGAAAGGGAATCGAAAAAAATGAAAAAGGTCAAGTAAAAATGAAGAAAATGAAGAGAAGAGTCTGCGAAAAAAAAAATTCAAAAAATCAAAAATCAAAAAAAGTCCATCGTAGTGCGGGGAGAAATCTTCCCGCAAAAGCTGACCGCCCTGAAAAGAGAGAGAGAGAGAGAGAGACACATCCATTCAAGAGATTTTGATGGGGGGCATCTATCTCTCTCTCACCTGGTAATTCCTTGGTTTAATTTTTTTTTTTTTTTCTCCAGTTTATATAATGGAAGTAGTCATGGATTCAGAAAATGCCTGTTTGTCTGTCCCCTCATATCCATTTTGATGAAGGGTTTTTAGGTATCCCAATTTGTAATTGGTAATTGTAATGGATTTGAGAATAGAAGGGGAAAAAAAAAAAAAAACAGAAGTGAAGTGAAGCAAAATTTCAGGGTCTTTGACTCTTATATATATCTTATAATATATATAGTTAAGGGGGACCCCCTGTCCTGCCAGGGTCCTCAGTCACAAGGTTGAGTACCTTGTGCTACATGCACATCAACAGATTTAGGCTTAGGGCATAGATATATAGATATATATTATATATATATATATATTTATATTTATATATATATTTATATTTATATATATATTTATATTTATATATATATTTATATTTATCTCTCTCTCTGTGTCAGGTAAAGTCGTAACACTCAAGTAGTTGTGTCCCAGTCTTTTCTCGAAGGAGAAATACCCGTTCTTCGTCAAATCCGATAGGCAGGGTCAATTCTTCGGATTCCACATCTACACGGTTCAAATTGTGGTAAATCGTTCCTAGTCCTAGCTCCGGCTCGGGCTCCCCATCCTTGTTTCCAGCGTTGAGCTGAACACCGTTCTCCTCGAAGAATTTGCGACCCAGGGATGATATCGCCATCTCTAACTCCCATATTCGAATCTCATCCCCTCGAGAGCTTACAGAGACAGCTTTCCCGCGGTTGGTCACGTGAACAGCAGATACGGAAGAGGTATGGCCCCAAAGTCGCCGGCCGCCTTGGACAAATAAAGATTCCAATGTAGATACCACAAGGTACATAGTCAACGTGTTGTCGGCATGAGAAGTCAACAAATACGGATGGGAATAGGACATGGAGGTTGGCGGTTGTTGATGTATGATAGACGGTGCCCCAGGGCCGATACGAGGTTGGTGCTCGACCGACTCGCTTGCAGAGTGTCGCCTTTTTCTGGATTGAAGTGGCCTCACCCCAAATTGGGAATCCACTGTAGTAGCCAGTCGGGAATCAAGCTGTTGCCCGTCTCTGCCTAGACGCAATTCTTGAATCCCTAGAGACCACCCACAGCCAATGTGGAAGAAGCTATACACAACGGTAGCCACAATTTCAAAGGACGACACTCTAAGAGATACTGTCATAGGTGCAACAATGTTATCTGCCTTGAGGGAGGCAACCTGGCGAGGTCCCGAGGCCTCGGCAGTTTCCCCTGCTCGATGGGTACCAGGGTGCAGATTGTACAAGGTCAAAACTTTGTGCTGGGATACTACCATTAAATACGGTGACGAGAGGGCCATGGTCGTTATAGCAGAATCATTGCAGCCGACATGAGAGGACTGCAACTCTAGCTTGGACGTTTGAAGATCTAAGACGAAGAGGCTGAAGTGACCATTTCCCAGTCCGACTGAGATCTCGATCTTATCTTGGATCTGGCTGACCGCCAAGGCGGTTGGGGTCAGAGGTAATGATTCTGATGGAGTCGACAAAGGAGTTCTTGCAAGGCAGCGTGCTAAATCTCTTGTGGTCCAAGCCCGGAGCCCGTGTGCTGAATCCGCGGTGAAGACAATCCCAGCACAAAATCTGACCAGCGTAGGAGGGCATGGCGGCTGAGGAAACTCTACCTCAGTAACCCGGCATAGCCCTTTGGACCAATTATGCCGGAGCCGATACTGCCGTTTCCAATTGCCCTCCTGTGCCAAGTGCCCATGATCGAACCATGTTGCGACCTTGGGTGTATAATCCGTCTTGGCCGGAAGGGTTGTGCGTCTAGTATTTGCGAGGCGGCGGGCACGGGGCCGCACCCATTCCGAGTAGTATTGCCTTTTCCATATCTCAGAGTCCCCACCAAGAGCATGGAAGCGATGTGATAACCTTGAAGTGGCAAGTCAGCGAAAACCCCCAAGGGCCGACGACAATAGGAGTATAGATACCTTTGACACACGTTAAGGGATGATACTGGTAAAAATGAAAGGATATGGAGGAGCAACTCATTGCTCAAACAAGACAGACGATCAACAGGCCCAATATCGTTCCGAGTACAGGTCCGCTTTTGCGGTAGATCGGAGTCCCAGTGGTCTCTGCATCGTTTAGACATCCTGTCTCGGGATTTAACAAAAAGAGAGGCCTGCAAGGGGACTAGTTAAATCAATCGGAGGAATCATTCCGCATGCTCGGAAGAATACAGTGGTTGAAAGTGGACAATTACAGGTGGAGTCGACCCCGAGCCACCAGGAAACTCTTATCAGCAAGTGATAAGCTCACGTGTACCCATTTGGCCTCGACGCGTCGCGTTTGTATCACTCTGGCTGACTAGAACGTCTGCAACTTGGGGAGGCTTTTTTTTTTTTTTTCCTCTTTGCTTTCCTTCTCTTATGATTCATGTCATATCCCTCAATGGTACACTAGGATTCTCACAATGGAAGTGGTCAAGGAGCTCCACGCTGCGGTGGCAAGTGCCTGTGAGGCCTCCTTCGACAATGCCTATAAACACATGAAATCCCATATTGATGCACACGCCAAAGAGGCAGAGATGAAAGAATCAATGGCCAGTCAATCCCAGCGACGGTCAGAGACCAGAATTCGAGAACTTGAGCATGATATCGCAGTACTCCGGCATGAGCTGCAACAATATGAAGTTGATCCACGGGATCTTGAACTTCCCGGGGAATATGCCAATCTAGAGACCGAATTTGACCCGAAGAATCTGTGGGGGGATGATGTCCTGGATGATAAGGATCACCGCACTGCTCGGAAGTCTCGGAAAAGGGTTGAGGCCAAATACACCGCGCTTTATACAAATTTACAGACATTCATTCAAACTTGGAGTGGTCTCAAATCTCGGGTGTTGCAGCATAAAAAGAAGTTACGGCGATGGGATCAACAATTAGAGCGTGGAGAATTCTCGCTTGTTATCAATGGCCAGTCCGTCACATTCCGCAGAGTGGAAAGTCCCACCCCTGAGGATGTCGACGAAGAACACTCGAAGGCCCAAGGCTTTTCAAAGAAACGTCCGAGAGAAGATTGTCCAGATACTCCTGCCAAGGCCATCCGGTTGTCACAACGAAGGTCCCGTGCAGATGATGTGCACGCAGATATAAAAGTTGAAGATGATAGCCAAAGACTAATTCATGGCCTAACATCAGAGTCGGCCTCCACTCAGTCTAGCTCTCCTAGACCCGATATGGAACCCTCGGAATCTTCTGATACAACATGTCTCTTCTCCGATGCCCACCAGCAGCAGACTCGGCAGAGGCTTTCCACAGCACTTCCTGACAGGCATCTCAAACATACCCAGCCGGCGGTCATCAGGTTGGAGCGTCCTACACTTGTCAAAAATGAGATCCCGTCCTCGAGTCCAGCCCAAAGTTCAATGCACAACAGTGAACAGCCATCTGTAAGCACGCAAGATCTCGATGAGATAGGAGACAGGATACGCACACCAATCAAACGGAAACCCTACCGGGGTGTTAATAATGCAGACTCTTGGAATTCGGAGAACGTTACAAATAACACACGTCACTCAAAGCGAATCACAATCGACGAGAAGACATCCCAACAGTCATCTATACTCCAACCAGTTGATGGCAACGCACGCAGGGCCACACTATCTGCACTGGGGTGTTCTACAAAACACCTTCAAGATCTGGAGCGACGCGCAATACCAGCTCTGGCAGAAGATGGTGACGATGCGGTATCCTTACGGACGTCTTCGAAAATCGGCTCCGGTGTCAATCTTGGACCTTCGGGGGCAATGACAAATGGTGCGTTTGCACAGGGACGTCTAGAAAATCTTTTAGAACGACCAGTACCTTCCAAATCGCCACTTCAGTTTTCGAACGGGGTCTCCGGCCCAGACTCAACAAGGGCAATCGATACACCGCACAGTGATCCAACAACACCCAAGATGTCAAGTCAAATAGCCCCAGATATAGACCCCGATGATGAACCATTCAGGGCAAGACCTCTTCGTCGGCTTGGACTGGGACATTTCAAAATAAACCCAGCTAGAAACCAAGGGCTTGATTACGCATATAACGCAGTTGTCCGAAAAAAGGATGACCGCAGATGCATATCAGGTTGTACTCGCCCGGGATGTTGTGGGGATCGGTTCCGGGCTATGGCCCGCCTTGGGGGTCTCCCCGGTAAATCTGGAGCAGAACAAGAGAAAGAAGACCAGGCAATTCTAGAAGAGTTTGCCGGTGAAGATACACAATTGCTTCGAAACATGAGCGGCAAAGAGCGTGAAAATCTCCTGGTGGAAGCGAGAGCCAGGGCCCTGGCTAACCAGTATGGACGACATCGGCATACTCATCAGCGGGCTCAATCCCCTCCTGGCTTCTGGCGGACTGATATGCCGGATACACAGGAGGAGGAAGGGGACCTTGAAGCTGCCAAGAGGTTGGAGCGTGAGAAAGTGGAAGAGCGATATCGAGAGGCTATGCGCCCTGGGGGGTTATGGACATGGGCAGATGAATAAGATTTACATATTTCTACCTATGTCTATGTATGACCTGTTCGATATTATTCTATGGTTTGGAAACACATCATAAAAGTTATCACAAACCGTCAGTTCAATCGCCATGCATAGATCTCCAAGTATGTTGTATATAAGTATGAAAAGGCTCAAAGCATCAACCTCGGCCCAACGCATCTTGGCGGACGCGGGACCACGTGCCTCCCCCTGTAACCTCCCGAGGTCACCCTCCCCCGGATCTTATCCCCTCCGTCACAGCTATCCCAACATGCTTGGAGCTTAAAGATGGAATCCGTTCGCAATATTCAGAATCCAATACCTCCGGTGCTCTTGCAACCATCCAAATGGCTTTCTATCTATGAAGACTTCGTGACCAAGAACGCTAGCTCGGTTGGTCAAGTCGAGTCGGCGCTGAGATCTTTGACTTATATCATCCCAGGTGAGTTCTCATTCGGTTTGATCATACAGCTGTTGAAGAATCTAACAAATACCTTCTATCAGGGCGATACCGCGAATCAGAGATACCATCGGAATGTGGTTAGTGTCACATTATACTTGCCATTGAGCGCGTCCACTGACCTCCCCTGCAGTGCATTCTGGTGTTCAGTTGTTATCATTATACCATGACTCTCTTGTTTCGCGAGTTGTTGATCGGCTTCCATCGACTGTACCCCGGCCGCCGCCCACTCCCCACTCCCGATATACCAAATACTGGACCTCTCGCTCCTCGCTCTATCGCCAGGTAGCTCTTGCGCTACAAATGCTCCAGTATACCGAGCTTCTCTGGGAGATGGCGGCGCGGCGGCGCGGCCAGAAAACCCGTTGGCGCGTGGTTATCTTTATTGAATTTGCAAAGGCAGTCTGCCGCTTGCTTCTTCTGCGATTGACCAACTCCAGACCACTTGTCAGCCCTCCACTTCCAGAGCGTGAGGTAGATCCCAGAACGACAGAAGAAGAGGAACCACAAAGTGACTGGAACGGAATGGACACTCCGGTCAGCGAGCGGTCTTCAGACTTGAGCTGGACGATGCCTCGCACAGGACTTTCCCTTCCGTCTCTCCCCGGCGTAAACGATGTGTCGAACTATCTCATCTCCAAAGTGCTTACAGCAGATGACATCAAGCCCCCTAAGGCACTCCTCCACCGGGCGACGGGACAAGGGCAATTAGCTGAAGTTCTATACATCCTTCGGCCTGTTGTCTACGCAATGGCGATGCAAAAGTGGCGTGGTGATAGGCGAAGCTGGCGGCCATGGCTTATTGGATTTGGGATGGAGTATGGCTGCCGCCAGCTCGCAAAGCGTGACTTCCGTGAACGGGTCGCTGGCGGCCTTCGAGGACTTACAGGGCTTGAGCGAGAGGAGCTGAAGAAGCGTGGATGGTCAATGGGCTGGTGGATGATGCGAGGCGCATTCTATGAAAACATCACCAAGTAAGAACCCCGACTCTGTTCTCTCTCTAGGTTCCCCTTTGAATACTGATATTGTGAAATAGGTCATGGCTGCACAGTTTAACTGGAAAGATGAAAGGCAAGCCATTGTTGGACTTGGTGGGCAGTGTTGTGGAGGACTACGAATACCTTTGGGACAACTTCTACTTCTCGACTGCTACACTGTGAATTTCCACAGATGAGCCCAGATCTTTTTCACCCATGATACCCATTATTTCTATCTACGAGTCTTTTTATGCTATTCTATCTTTCGTCCGTTCTCGGTCTTGCTGAAGCAACCGCAAGGGGTATCATTAATGTTTTATTAAGTTTCATGTCTATTATCACATTACACGGAGCATTCGCATTCAGAGAATCTCAGTTTGCCTGTGGCCATACCAATCCCGTAATCCAACCTTGCCCGTGCGTTTGCCGGGGGCTGAGGACAGTAAGAACTCATTCAGCCGAGGTGCCCCTTCCTCCTCTTCATCGGGCCAGTCGACTCGTGCTCCTCCTTTCATTTCAAGCATCTCCTTCGCAGTGCCCCAGCTGAATCGACACTCGTTGCCCCATCCAAACACAGGGTCCATGTTGCGTCGAAGCCAGCCGACGCACTTGGAGTCCGAAGGATAGCCACTTCCCCAAGTCTCGGGGGTTGGGCTAGGTGACTGCTCAGCGCGAAGCACGGCCTCGTACATGACTTCCAGTGCAACGTCTCGCGTCACCTTGGCTGCCACACTGGCGGCGCTGACACAGGGATACAAGGAATCGGCCTTCTTTGCCACTGTGATTTTGAGAGATGGGAAGATTCGCTCCAATTTTTGTTGGTATGTGGCGGGGTTCCCAATCGTGTCAATGTATACCTCTCGCACATCCACCCCTCGGTCTTCAACAACTCCTCGAATGATTTCCACCGTGGCATCCATGGCCTGAGCGTTCAGATTGTATACTGCGGTGGGTGATCTCATCATGCCAGAAGAGATGTCGCGCGCCGACAGTACTTTGACCGCATACCCGCAGGACTCGAACAATGAGTCTCCTGGTGTATTTAATAGATGCATCAAATTGGCTCGCACAGCAGGTGTAAGCACTTTGCTATCGTCAAAGCTATGTTTTTCGGTCAAAAGCGAGTGATGGAGATCAAGAGGGAGATAGAAGGCACCGTAGACCATTGGCCCTAGGACTGGACCACGGCCAGCTTCATCGACACCCAAGACACATGGTGTACTCTGAACTGTATCATGAATTGTGGGTGAGGTCTCTTGGGGTGTGATTGCTTTTGGGCATGGGGTGTAGTACGCGTAGGATTCGCCGGAGAGAAGGAGATCTGAAATCACACTAGGAGGAATAAAGGTAGACGATTCCTTGGGAGGAGTAACAGAGGGAGTATCATTTGTCATAATAGGCATATATGAAGATTGAAGAGGGTTTAAAGAAAAGAAAGAAAAGAAAGAAAAGCAAGACCAGCAAGACCAGCAAGACCTTTGGAGTACAAAAGGGCAAAATACCAAAAAAAGATCGAGTTGAACGAGTTGAACGCGTCGACCATTCGGGATTAGCGGGCGCGCGTGTTGCTCTTCCCGCCCTAAATTCCGCATTCCTCCCCTCCACCTTGTGCCTCTCTCTGTCTCTCGGTCTCTCTGGTCTCTTTTAACGGCTTTTCCTCAAAATCTCTCCTTAATATTTTTGATTATTCTATCCTGGTGCTCAACTTTCAATATGGCACGAGGGCCCGGAAAGGCCCGCGACTTCGACTACTCCAATGTGGGAACTAAGGGAAGGTGAATGAATATGTCATCGGCAATTTCACTACCTAGGTAGACATTTATACTGATTCCCGTCTAGGCGCACTGGTATATCTCTGAAAGAAGGTCGACGCGATGAACATGGAATGGAGGAAGTAGACGGTCTCTTTTCATCTCCTGAGAAATCGCCTGTGGAGTTGAATGACTTTGAAGAAGACGTGGAAAATGAATCTTCAGTTGGATCCGAGGGCATGTCAATGGATGAAGGTGGGCCAATGCAGTATCGCCTTATATTTTGCCGACTCATTGCGTGCTGATATGCAAATTCTATAGGCAATGCGCCAGATCCCATGGACTTCCTCAAAGGCACAAATGGGTCACGCACCTCTTTTCTCCCCCCGCCTGCTGCGCGGTCACCGATGAAGACTGGCCTCACTGGGTCCCCGCGGAGGACTCCAGCGTTGCAATCAACTCCAGACCCGCAGGAAGTCGAGTCATCTAGTCCGTCCGACGGCAAAGGTTACGCGGGCGCACAGGCAGAATCGCGTCAAGATCCATCTCCTCTTTCCACTCGCTCGGTGAACGTGGGACGCTCGAACCAGAAGAATGGCACACGGCAAAAACCTACTACAAAAGCCCAACTAGCAGCAGAATTTGAGCCCGCAGCCATACATGACTTTTCCGACTTTTCCGACGGCGACGAGAACGCCAATGCATTCACTGCAGTACAACAAAATTTCGGCGACAGTCTAAATATCGATTCAGATTCAGTTGTTGCAGAGGAACTACCCGATTCTCCCGGGCAAGACCAACAAGATGATCATGGCGACCATTCATCTACGGCTGACACGACTCCGCCTCCTGAAGAACCCGCTGTGGCCTCCAAGTCAACAAAGAAGGCCGCATCAAAGATCGCCAAGGTAGACAAGGATCAGGCGAAACCCCCGCACCGCGCGGACGTCCAAAGTCTCAGCGCCGTAATGTCGAAGAAGATGTCGACCCCCGACCAACCAAAAAGCGGAACACCAAGACATCTCCACCGGTGCGTGAACCTTTAGAACCGGAATTGGATCGAGTGGTGGAGAATTACGCCAACCGCACAGGCCCTTTGAAAGGCCGAAGTTTGTATATCCTCAAGCGTGAGAATCCTACCGACAACAGTGCGACTCACACTCGATCTGGGCGGGTTTCGGTCCGACCACTAGCATATTGGCGCAATGAACGGTGCGTCTTTGGTGATGGGGAGGCAACTGAGGGGCATCGATACCCTCTTTCAACCATTAAAGAGGTAATTCGCACCGAGGAGCAAGAGCCTGAAAAGAAGAAGAAGAAGGGGAAACGCTCAACGTCTCACAAGTCTAAGTCCAAGAAACCAAAGGATGACTCTTCAGACGAGGATGAGGATGTTGATCTCTGGGAGAAGGAAGGCGGTGTTCTTCATGGCTACACTCTTAAATGGGACAGGAAAACACAGACCAGTTCGAAAGAGGAGGAAGTCCTAGGTATGAACCCCTCCACCCCTTTATAGTTAGTTCCTTTTACTAAGTCCATCTTGATATACAGATATTGCATATGCTCCCTCTGGAATCGAAACCAGAGAAGTCAAAGACTCGACATTCCGATTTGCGAAGCTGCTCAGCTCGTCATTCATCGGGTCTGGAGTTGTGGAGCTCCCACCTGATGGAGTCAAGAAACCTAAGAACTCGAAGAAAATGCACATGGTCTTTTATGTCTGTCACGGGCGTGTTCAAGTGGATATCTCAGGTGTCCAGTTTAGTGCCGGAAAGGGTTGTGTTTTCCAAGTTCCTCGTGGTGAGTCTTATTTCCCCTGGCTTCTTCGTATCAGTTAACTGACACCGGTGATCCTATCTCTAGGTAACTATTATAGCTTTGCAAACACCCATCAAAAAGAGGCTCGGCTTTTCTTCACCCAAGGCTGTGTCCCCGATGAGAACGAGAATGAAGACGACGCACCGCAGATGTCTCATGATGTTGGCCCTGAGAGCGAATTCGAAGCCGACACTCCTACCGCTCCTGTTCATGTCCCTGCTAAGAAAGCCAAGGGTCGCCCCAAGGGCAAGCAGAAGAAGACAGGCAAATGATCACTTCTATTAGCTCTCTGGCCTCCAACTCCTGTTCTCATGTTTGTAGGCATTGACAACGCGCCATGATACTTTTTTTTTTTTTTTTTTTTCTCTTTCTACGTGGATACCCTGAAATTTTATTTTTGTGGGCGTCTAAATGTCTTTTTTTATTGTTATTAGTTCTTTCAGCGATTTGGGGTTTTTTTTTTCATACTATTACCAGGGAATTTGGCGCTTTTTTTGTTTGTTTTTTCTTCTTCGCCTGTACCTCCGGTTAATTATGCAGTATCTATTGGTGATAATTGGTGGTGGACGAGCAACGGAGAGAATCAGAAGCTCATTCGAAAAATATCGAAATGTATCCCATCCATGGATATCAAATCTCTTCCATTAGGTCATCTAGGTCGTCGTCTAGACCCAATGGGGGAACTCTCCAACCTCAACCTTCTCAGGCTTCACAAATACACCCCTGGTGCCTAAGCACTCGAAGTAGCGCTGTCCGCCCACACTACCGTCATTCTTCCCCATCGGCTCGTCAAGCTCAATTCCGACCCAGATTGGCTGGAGATCTGCCGGAAGTTCTGCATTCTGTTGCAGCTCACGACCCGGACCGGTAATAGGAATAGTCGGAACAGGTCCAACAAAGCGGATCGTGCCGCGTCGAATATGCGGTGGAGATGAAGGCAAAGCGATAGCTCGTTTAGTAATAGTGATTCCTGCCAAGATGTGGTCAGTTGAAAAGATTTTGGGGAAAAAGATTTTGAAAAAAAAATGAAAAAAATGAAAATCGCAGACACTCGAGGTGTGTTTGTTTCAACGAACCTCTCGTTTGAACCTCGTGTTGGTCTTTCTCAACTTGATGGCGTAGAGCATCTTCAGGGGATAGAGCGTTAGGATCAAACCGACCCAGCTTCTGACTCCTCTTCCAAGCTAATACAGAGTCCGAACGGGCTTCATATGTCTTGGTTGGCAACACATATTTCTCGACCGATGACAAGTCGGTGAAGTTAGCCCGCATGGTTTGTGGGCGACTGTCATTGACCTGGTGAGGATACAAATCAACATATACTCGGAATTCGTAACATAGAGCTCCTTCCCTGACAACTTGAATCAAAGGAAACATGGCGCTTTGTTCCCGGTAAAGCAGTCAGAGTAGAGTTAAAGAGAAAGAAAAGAGAACCAACCTCGATCTCCGACCCCTTCACCAAACCCCAATCCCCAATTAGGCGGTCGTCTCCATCGGCCCACTGGTCAGGTCGACCGGGGACTTTCACCCGCAGGCGCTGGCATCCTGGTGGAATTCCCGTCATGGTCTCCAACTTTGCCTTGACCTGCATCACCGTCCAGGTTGGGGTGATTCGGCGCTCAGTCAGGAATCGAGGCTCCGAATCCCCAGGCTTTGCTAGAGCCGCATTGGTGATGATGACGGAGATATCCATCGGAGTAGGCTGGAACGCCATGTTGTCTCTATGTATCAATTGTTTCGCGTTTGTGTGTTCTAAAAGAAATGTTAGAGTGGGCTAGTTATGGAAAAGGAATATAACCAGTTAGTTATCGAAGAAGCACATTGTTAGTAAGCAGGTACCGCCAGCTCAGGCACCGCTTGATGCTACACGCAGTTCAGAATGGAATTGGCAAATGATCTTATGACCTTTATGGAGGACAAGTGAAACAGTGCATGTTATATAGATAAATAGATAAACAATTGCCTAAACGGGGATGTAGCATGTTGAAGTCAACGTTCTGTAGGAAATCCATAGAGCAATTCCAACCTAGTTATATATAGTTATATATATGATTGTATGTATATTAATACAGTCAAACTCGACATAATTCAAGCTTGATACTTAATACCTTTCTTATTCTACATCTATAAAATTATTCAACATCACCCGAATATAATGATGTAGATATTATGCGTTACAAATCGCGAGCCACGTGATATCCGTTCTCGCTTGACTTTTCAACTTCATCAACAGCTCCCACTTTATTCACAACGAGAGTTATCATGGCCTCCCAACAGACAGGCGAAGCGTATGAACAGCAAAATGTCCATGAGGTGTACCAAGAGATTGCTCAGCATTTCTCCGCTACCCGTTACAAAGTGTGTTTAGAAGTCACTACCTCAAACCCCCGGGTTCCCAGCTAACCAATTTCCCAGCCATGGCCAATAGTCGAGCGATTCCTCACGGGCCTAACACCAGGCGCAGTGGGTCTAGATGTAGGGTGTGGTAATGGCAAAAACCTGATGGTCAATCGAGATGTTTTTATCATTGCTTCAGATAGGTATGTGTTTGATATGAATTATTGAATTTTTTGGATTTTTGGATTTTCGGATTTTCTATAAACTGCTTTATTTCCTTGGGATACCATGCCATCCATTGTATCCCTTTAGCTTGGTCTGGGCTAACCCAACGCCAGATCTGAAAACCTGGCTCGGATTGCTCTGCAGCACCAGCCACATTCGACTGTAGTGGCCGATATTCTTGACCTCCCACACCGGGATGCAACCTTTGACTTTGCCATTTCAATCGCGGTGGTGCATCATCTTTCCACTCCAGCCCGGCGAGTCCAAGCCGTCGCTGAGATCCTGCGAACTGTGAAGCATGGTTCAGAGACGCAGGAAGGTGGGCAGATCCTGATCTATGCCTGGGCTCTTGAGCAAAAGAACAGCCGTAGAGGTTGGGACAAGGGTGATGAGCAAGATCGAATGGTTCCCTGGGTTCGTAAGGGTGATCAACCCCAGACTTTCCATCGCTACTACCACCTGTACGCTGAAGGCGAACTGGAGCGTGATATCGGCAATGCTGGCGGTCGTGTGCTAGAATCCGGGTACGAGAAAGATAACTGGTGGGCAATCGCAACCCCCAAAACGGCCCATGACGTTTAAAAAATGTGATATGCACTCCGAGAACCAGCCTCGGAGTCATGGGGGAAAAAACACATCAATTCGCACTTGCTGGCCCCGCCAAAATTTCTGCAAACAAAGGAAAAGAACGCAACAAACACCGAGGGGTAGAAATCATCTATACGATTCAGTATCCCCACAAATCACGATATACCTCCATCCGGCGCTATGCAATTCGTAACAGAAAACCACAAAAGGAAAACAGGGGGAAAAAAAGAAAAGAAACAAGAAACAAGAGGGGAAACTCAAGGAAAGACGTATAGGCGTCATCTTCGTCATCTCATCCCTAGGGCATGGTTCGAGGAGGCATGCCAAGGTGGGGTCCCATGAGACCTGGTGGGGGAATTCCCATATCCGGGGGTCGTCCAATTCCATAGAACTCTCTCGGGGGAGGTGGAGCGGGTGCGTATGCAGGAACGCCTGCAGTGAGCTCTTCGAGGGAGGGAAGTTGAGGTGGAAGGCCGGGCAGATGACTTGGGATTGCGCGTGAGGAGGATCCCTTTCTCGGCCGGGATAGAGAAGTGCTGGCGCGGCGGGTTCTGGTGGTGGGGGGATCGATGGCAGCACTTGAGAGAGAAAATGGCACTACGCCTGCGCGTCGAGCCATCTCTTGCTCCCCCAGCTGCCAGTGCATGGCCTCTGCTGCACGCCATGGGATAGCCATTTCCTCCGCTACCTTGGACCACATTTCGGCTTTGAATCTATTCAGATGAGTGTGAGATTAGTGGATTTGTTTTCCTTTTCCGAGATGCTTTTCCCCTTCCCAAGACCTACCTCTCATATAAACGGGCTAGTTTGTTTTTCTTATCTTCATCCCATTCACTTCGACGTTCCAGGTAGTTCTGATAATGAAGACGGCAACTGATGGCACTGCGGCCGGGGAGTCGTTTGCTGATATCCTCCCACTTCATCCCACTGCCACGCAGTTCGATGATCAAAGCATCCTCATCTGGCGACCACTTGGACTGTTTCTTTGCTGGAGATTCGGAAGTGTGCGAGGGCTGTAGACGCTTGGCAGCACCCGATGGGCCAGTCTTGGTCAAGGGTGGCATGGCCATGGCAGCCGGGCCCGGCATAGTCATCATGGGACCTAAGCCCAATGGTGGCCCTATGGTTCTGGGTGGGTACCCGGTGTTCAGAGCCGGGGCGGTTTCTTCCTCATCTTGGGGCTTGAGTAGCAGTGAGATATCCACTTTGACTGGAGGCAGTATAGGCCGATTTTGTAACGCAATCATATGCGCGGATGAGCACCGTTGAATAGAATAGAAAACAAAGCGGCAGGGGGATTTCCCCGACTAGAGGGGGAAGGGGCAAGGGAAAAAGAAGAAGAAAAAACCAGAAACAAAAAAAAACAAACAGAGAAAAGCCGGAAGGTTCTCGTGATCCCAAGTCTTGTCCCAAATATGACGACAGAACGATCAAACGTCCCAAATCAATAGTGGAATCTTCAATCTCTTTTTTTCTTTTCTTTTTTCCAAATTTGGAATGAATCCTTGGAGCTCTCTGGGATATCAGAGAATTAGAAAGAATAGAAATGAGGAGATGAAGGGGGGGAGGAAGGAAGTATATGGGATATATGGGAGTGTATGTTAATGAAGAGAGTCAATTGTAGAATTCCAGAAGAAAAGGGAGAAGGAAAAGGACCATAGGAAGCATTCACTTGAAAAAAGGTGAAACGAATCCAGAAGTGACAGCTGATCTAAACCTATCTTGACAAGAAGAGAGAGAGAGAGGAGAAAAGAAGAGTCTTAGACCGTTGGGGGGGTGGACTGTGGACTATTAAGGGTAACGGTTGTGACAGAGGGTAAATAAAAAATACATATCCACTGGGGGTTTTTAAATTAAAGATGCGGTCAGTTGTGTTTTTATTTTATTTTTATTTTAGATTTTATTTTTATAGTTCTATTTCTTTTTTTGTTAACTTGGGTCTCTTGAGAGTTGAAGTGTATATAGTATATAGAATGATATCTGGATAGTAAATAGTATAGTAATAGTTATACTATAACTGATTGAACTACCAAGTACTAGACTAGGTAAGTAACTAGTTAACAGTATACCCAAGTAACTCACTAACGAGTTATACAAAGTAGAGACGGTAAATGTTTGATATGACCTGCAGAGTTTCATACTAACCCAGAAAAGGAAGAGGGGCAACCTCCAGGGCTACGGAGTACATATACTACTAATACAAATACTAAATACAACAAAATACTATTTTACTATTTTTGACTACTTTACCTACTTTAACTAATTCTACTATTCTACTATTCTACTAATTAATCCTAATTGGTAGAATAGGAGGGGGTTGATTGTAATTCTAGAAATTAGGAAATCTGAAAAATACCTATAACCTAGGTGTTCAATATCCAACTAAATTAATATATAACTAATATATTAAATCCTAAATCCTAAATCCTAAATAATATAATAATATAATATAAATATAAATAAATAATAATAAACCCCGGGGACCCGCATCACCCTTTGGTTAAATGAGAACGGTCTTCTCCGGTCCAGGGCCTAGCCCCAACTGAAAAAGTTCCAGATCGTTTTAACGGCTTTGCTGTTTGTAACTTGACGTGTTCACGGGGATTTTACTCTATCTCAACCTGGGAACCAGTCGGGGATTTTTCTCTTCACTTTCAAGGTTCTTCCCCTTGCTCTTTGCGGGGCTTTTCCGGGTTCCCGACCCTCGGGTGTCCCATGTGTTTCTTCATACAATATACATTATATATTATATAACTATAAGTTATATATACTATAGTTATATATACCTAGGTAGTTATATATGGTTATATATACAAAATAAGTGGTGAAATTTGAATCGAGCATGTAACATCTTTTCCTTTTTTTTTACATATATCGATGAAGTTCAAGGGAACCCTATGCTATACTATGTAGACCAAGTAGATTTAAGATAATTATCCTCAAGGCCCAGGCTAAGGTCTCAGAACCGTCTCTTGAACGACGGGGCACGCGTTCACGCATTTCCAAGATTTAAGGGACTGGTGGGTCATTTTAATTTCCGTTAAATAGCCCTGTCAATTTCCTATCAATTTCCTGTTAATATCCTGTCAATTTCCTACCAATATCCTACTAATTTCCCAAATTCTAGACACGTCATGCCCGTTGGACCCAGAAACCGGGCAGACGCCTAGACCGAACACGAGTTCCTTTCTCAGGATCCTTATATTATTTATTATTTTATATATATATATATATATAATTATATCTAAACGAGGTACGGAGTATATTATATGACCTCCCCTTTTCTACGACGATCTTTTTTTTAATTCTTTTTTTTTTTTTTTCCCCTGAAACATCCATTCGGTCAATGCACCGAGGATCAGCAACCCATCCCTCTTCCTGTTCCTACTTCCCTCCAAATCTCGTCTATCAACTTTCCCAGTCAGGTAACAAAAAGAGGCAGAGTTGAACGTGTGGAAGTGGATCATGTACAACGTTCGCAGGGCGATCGTTGCCTCCCTTGGCTTGGGAGTCAGCACAGACACGCCCCGTTCAGCAGCAGCTTCATCGACCTTATGACCCGCTTGGAGCAACGGGGACAATCCGTAGACCAATAACCCGAGGTATGTCCGAAGGGGGAGAAGACAAGGTAAGAATTAGGATATATCTATAACTATATATATATATATATATATATAATATCTATACATATATACATAAAAAAAAAAAAAAAGGTATGAGAAAGAATTCAGGTCATGTCTCCTCTGACAAAAGGTCTTAGGTAGTCAGACACGGGAAGGAGAAGCCAAGTGTGATGATACGCACAGAATGTCTCCCTAACGGTGTACGGAGGAAAGCTCAACCAACCATAAAGAAATAACGGTGTGGAGTTTCAAGGAGGGGCAAACGTCAGATCATCGAACTAAATGACTTAAGTGGTAGCGACGAGCTGGTGGCGTTGCGCGGAGTGTTTCTCTTTTCTATTTATTGTCGCGATCGCCCTAACTATCTGACACGCACCCGTTGGACCCGGTTTTTTTTGGGTGGATTTTGATTTTGAAGCTCATTATTTTGGTTGTCCTTTTCCGGTCCTTTTGGTCCTTTTGGTCCTTTTGGTCCTTTTGGTCCTTTTGCTCATTTCGATGATTTTGGGTATTGATATTAGGGGGGTTTCTCTTGGAGCTAATAGGTTCAAGAGACAAACCTCATGTATGTACCTACCAGGTAGCCACATATGCACTGTGAACGGAGAATTTGGAGAGTTCCACTTGGATCATTGAGATCATCTGCTTCAGCTGAAGTGGCGCTCAACCGTTTGGATTTGGGGGCAATGCGCTCAACGGTGGATCTTCGGTAGATGCGAGGAACCCTGCTGTCAATACCTTACTTTTGGTATGTATATGTATATATATATATAATATTTGCTATGCATCATCAGGGCAGGTTCATCCTTGTTTCCGAGAGTGATGTATCTCAAAATCCATGCATATAACTCACCATATACCAACATATCCTTACACAAAGTACCAGATGAAACCTCGATATATAAAAGGACAAGGTACGGTATAGCTTTCGGCCGGATCTCTGGATATGTCAATCATCAAGTTTTAGAATCCTATTTCGTCTATTTCATTTGGCTCCACATCTGAAACAACTTGTCTTGTGGGGGTCCAAGGCTCTTCTAGACACAACATAACTATATGTTGTCCGTAAATACTCTCCTACTTACAATAACTTATAGAGTTAAGATTATCCTGATAGACTGGTCTCGAACATTCTCTTAAAACAAATCCCCCCCAATACAACATCCAACATAAAAAGGAAATTGATTTCAACTCATTTAGGGTCCCACTGAGCCCTGAAATTTGACGGGAAATTTGATCTCTGCCCAACTCACCACATTCCTTTTCAACTTTTTTTCAACTTTTTTCTCTTTGATCATTATGAACTGCCTCTATTTATTCTATATTTAGTGGGCATAATCCTTCTCAGGATATTGATTTCTTATATTTCTTTGTTGTAGGGATACAAGCCGACTTCGACTCAAATGTAATATCGTGGAACTGGAAATCCATGAAAGAAACAAAATAATCCAAAATGATGGTTGAATGAAAGTTGAATGAGTGCCTCTGGTGTGGACTCAATAGATTCCCTTGACTTTCTTTGATCACTGTCTTCATCCCGTGGATTCATTGGTTCGATCATGGAATTCTTTCAATTCCAAGTTGAAACCCATCTTTTTATTTTCGAGATGAAAACAATGAAAAACAGTCGCAATGCAAGATAAATAAATTAAACCGCGAATCCCTCAAGGGAGAGCTTCACATCATCATCTATTCCCTTCATATTCTATCATGGCCCAACCTAAACAAGTCGAGGAGCCAGAGGAGGTATCCGAAGAGCTAGAAGAAGAGCTAGAAGAAGAGCTAGAAGAAGAGCTAGAAGAAGAGATGGAAGAAGGGCTGGAAGAAGAGCTAGAAGAAGAGCTAGAAGAAGAGATAAAAGAAGAGATGGAAGAAGAAGAAGAAGAAGAGATGGAAGAAGAGATAAAAGAAGAGATGGAAGAAGAAGAAGAAGAAGAAGAAGAAGAAGAAGAAGAAGAAGAAGAAGAAATGGAAATGGAAGTGGAAGACCTAACAGAACCAAGAATCAAGTCAGGAAAGGAGAAAAGGACACTGAGAGTAAGTGGTCACCCTCGAGTCAACCTCATTCAACCTCATTCAAACATCGACAAACTAACAAAAAGGAATAGACCGTCATCCCCACATATTGGCCTCCCGACTTGCCCAAGAAGACTACCGTGGGCTTTCCAAATGACGGAGTGGACTGTTATCGAAATGTCGTCTTTCAAATGATTCTACATATGCCCGTATTCTACAATTGGCTCATCTGGTACAAGGATCACCATGCCCCTAAGGGTCATGTTTGCCTTCGGGGTTCATCTGAAGACGGTCCCAGTGCATGCCCGGTTTGTCAACTGGCTGAGATTGCCCAAGGGTATTGGGCAGGTAAAACTGCAACTGAAAGTTGGATGCCTACCTTTGAAGCTTTAACACACTCGCTCTTGCAAGGTTGGAAACCTGCTGGGGTAGACTCGGAACAAGACCCGGCAGAGTACTTTGACGTGCTTTACGCCGCGATCAAAAATAGCACCAAGCCTATGATGTATGTTGATTCTCCCTCATATCCCTCATATCCCTAGAAGACTGACTTGAGACTCCAGGAAAGAAGACGTGGAAGATATGCTCGAGGTCGAACTGATCATGGTGATGAGATGCGACGGGGAAAACCCTTGTAAACCGAAATACATCTCAAGACAGCAACGGTTTATGATGATCAACTTATCCGGAGAGGAGGGCGATACACTCCCCGAGAAGCCTACTTTGAGCGACGTAATCGAAAATCACTTTGATCATGAGGATGATTTCGATGAGTGTGCGGATTGTGGAGGCAACAAGACAGCCAGAGATCAAATTGGAAGTTTCCCTGAGCTTCTCTTGGTCCAGCTCAACCGCACCAGTGTGATGGGCGAGAAGATCGACACTCACGTATATCTGACCGAGGAGTTAAATATCGAGACACGGTTCATGGATGAACGCTGGAGCAACGAACGAAAAGTCATCCAGTATAAATTGACCTCGATAGTCTTGCATCATGGCGGCGATGTAACACAAGGTCACTACAGTATCGGTGTTAAAGGTAAAGGAGATAAATGGAGCCAGGCAAATGACATCCAAATTTTGGACTGGGACCCCGAAGGGCCTGAAGGCAACCCGAACCATCTCGCCACCGGTTATCTCTTTACATATCGCCGGTTACCCACGGACGACGAAGTACAGACACCCTCAGAGGCACAGATCCCTCAGACAGAGCCACCCCCTGAACACGATATCATGGAGATCGACTCCGTTCCGTTGGATGGCGGGGATGACGGGGGGTGTTCTCGAATTTTGATTCTGGTCCACCTGAGGATTCTGAGAATCCTGCACCTAAGGGTCCTGTCCCTGAATCGGGCTTCAATATCTTTGATCCCAAGAAATTAGGGAAGTTACTGGATGTGATGGTTCCCAAAGTTGTCGATAGCTATATAGCTCGCTCAGCGGATGCGAGGCGCAACGAGTGGGAGAAATGGGCAAATGAATGGGAGAAGAAGAGGGAAACAACCCCTACAGCTCCTACAGCCCCTACAGCCCTTACATCCCTTACAACCCTTGCAACCCTTGCAGCCCAAACACCAAAGACTTCGACTACTGCTATTGCCATTGATTCTGAGATTGGTACCGATTTCAATGAAGATATAGTCGACTGGACTCAAAATCGTGGACGACTTCGTATAACTTTGACTCAAGAAGCAGGAACAGGACCAAAGGTGTTGGATCTTGAAGTTCAAGGAATGAGCTACAATCGACTGAAGAGGAAGAGGGGAGAGAAGGAGAAGGTAGATGAAGGAGAAGTTGAGAAAAAAGCATCGACATTTATTAAATTAAAGAAAAAGGTACAAGCTAAAGTGAAGGATTATGGGAAGGAAAAGGAGAAGGAAAAGGAAAAGGAAAAGGAGAAGGAGGTGAAGGTGAAGAAGAAGAAGGGGAAGAAGTAGAAGTTGGGAAGTTGGGGAGTTGAGCATTTTGGATATCTTGGGACTTTCTTTTTGTTCTTTTAGTTTCTTTCTTTCTTTCTTTTTTTTTTTTTTTTCAATCTTCATGTTCTCTTCACCTCTTCTTTCTTCTTTCCCATCACATTAAATGGATTCTAATTCTCCTCAAATCTTCCTCGATCGTTTGATCACAGAATTGGCCCAAAATGGACATTCAAAGACCCTCAAACCACTCATGTTGACATTACACTGTCTATTCCCAAATGACTTCCTTCCTGCCCTTGATATTCTCGACCGCAAACTAGTCCATCGAATTGTGTGCTCAGATCAATCTGCTACATCCCTAGAGAATACCCAAGAAGATATTTTTATTGTGATATCTGCCTCGGCGCCGCCTTCACTTCCGGGTTCATCAGTTTCCCAAGAAAAGGGCTACGAGGTTCGGCTGCATGCCTGGAATTGCAGTTGTCCTACATTTACCCTGTCTGCATACCGAGACTCTCAGCTCCCAGCGAATCATCCGACAAACGAACTGAATCAGTTGGCCTACTCATTTGGCGGAACGCTAGCTCGTGGTACGGCGCGGGTGTCGCCTCCTACCTGCAAACATATCCTAGCCTGTATTCTATATACACGGTGCCCTGGGCTGTTCAAAGTTGATGAGGATGGCAGATTCGTCGTTTCCAAAGAGGAATTGGCAGGCTGGTGTGCTGGTTGGGGTGGTTGATTTGCTTGGCTCTTGACACGTCAACGGAAATTGATGTACGAATATCATGAATCGGGGCAAAGAGTCCTTGGCCCCGTGGCAGCTGCTGAAGTGCCCATCTGAGAACCCATCCCAGGTATCCGCAGATGACAACAGGTCCTACAGACCCTTGTCCATTCCACATGAACCATCTGCCTGTGCCCGGGCAATCATTGATCATTGCTTGGAACACAAGAAGTCGGCTGGCCACGAATGGGGACTTGTCCCGGTGCCCTTAAAATTGCAGGATGATTGCATGGTAGACACGCCAATGGGCAGTATTGTTACTTTAGATGTAGTTAAATATACATCTTACAGAGAAATTAAGGTCTTGGTTCGCTGTGCGAAATGGACAGACTTGGTCTGTTAATACAAGAGGAAGAGAAAAAACAAAAAAAAAACAAAAACAAAAACCAGGTTGAAATGTCATATGCTTTACTCATTGGATTGACAATTCTTTCCGTAAGAGAATAAATTAAGAGTCCCTTAGTTCTTCTTGTTCTTGTCGGAGCTATCCTGCTCCTCCTTCTGGTCACCATTTGGCGAACCGGCCTTCTTGGCATCCTTTTCTCCCTTAGTTCCATTGACCTCCTGGTCCCGCTTGGTGTCACTCTCCTCTTGCTGTTGTCGGTTCTGGATCTTGTTATCGATTAAGTCGTGGAAAGCCGTGATAGCACGGATCAAGCTGCTAATGTAGATAGCCATCAATTGGTCATTAGTCTTGACACTCATGGCCCGTGCCAACTCGCTGTTCTCAAGCTGTGTCTCCTGGCCGTTGGTCCGCTGAGTCGCCGGTGGGGTAGACAGATTGGGAAGGAGGTTGAAAACATCCTGGAGGTTACCCAGAATGGCGTGGTTGACGGGAAGTTCCTTGTCGAGAACTTTCTGGAGGTATTGGCCGATATCGCGTAACCGCAGATGCAATCCTTGCAGTGACTGCAGCTGCGACGTGATACGGGTGGAAAGTGTGCCGACTGCGACGTCCCTGATGTCTCGGAGGAGGTGCTCCACGCCAATCTCCTCTGCTTCTTCTGCCTCGATTATCGACGGGGTGTGCACAAATGTTCGGGAGGTTGTTGTGCCATCCTGAATGTAACAAAAAATAGCCTTGGTTAGCCATGGTGGCCTGATGGATGCTTCCCTCGGATTCAATGTAAACTTACATCCTTGATTTCGTCCACGGCGAAGTAAGCATCTGTAGGCACGCCAACTTCCTTCGGTTGTACATCGACAATAACCAGCAAAGGGTTGGGCGTGTATTTCTTGAAGAGCTCATTGATCTCCAAATCCGAAGCGCGCAGCTTAGGACCCGAGTGGTACCAGCCGACTAGCTTCTCGCGAGCATTGATTTTCTTGAACATATCCCTCATCGACTCAACGAAATTGTGATCCAAGAACCACACTGATGGGTCTTTTTCATCTTCCTCGAATGGGACTAGAGAGATAAGAAACACAGATGTCAGCTCGTCCGTTGTATGGGGTTGATTCACCGAAGCTTGCACTTACCAGCAAAACTGTTTGATACCCGGACATTATCACCCGAGTTCTCACCCAGCAGGACACCTACAACACGTTTCCGGGTACCCTTTGCCGTTCTCCCATAGTGATCTGCGACGGAAAGGAGGACTAACGGGGCAACCGTCACGGAGCGGTTGACGAGGGATAGCGTGTCCGCCGTGGTGGCAGGCATCGTGAAAGGGAAAAAAAAGTGAAAAGAGATCGAGAGCTATAAGGGACGATTTAAAGCTCGTAGATCAAATAAAAATCCAATGAAATAGCAAATCAACACGAGACAGGAGAATGCGGTGGATGGAGAGCGATGATGCACAGGTGCTCTTGAGAGCTCTCCGCCACAGAGCTGCGCCACCATGAGGCTGGGTAACTTAGTAAGCAACCACCTTGCCCGGTGAAGAGGAAGCTTGAAAGAATACACATATGTACATCAATAGATTAAGATGATTATACTATAAGATATATATATATATATAAAAAAAAAAACAGGTATAAATCCTAAAATTCAATTAATTATCAGGATGTAATTTGTATACATCGCCTCTACAATATTTGTACTATAAGTCTCGTGAAGCCCGTGCTTTCCGAACCTCGGACGCTAAGTTCCCTTGCGATTCTTCCCTTTCCCCATTTTCTCCGTTTCCCCGTCGACAGTCTTTTCCTTCTACAACCCTCTCCCCTCTTACAATTCACAATGGCTCCCATCACTGAAGATGCCGTCTCCGGTCTGAAGAATACCATCCACCAGCTAGAGGCAAAGGTGTCCGAGCTTGAGAGCCGTCTCGCCAATGGCGGCAAGCCCAAGTCCGCTGCCGAGCAGATGCGCATCATCCTGATGGGCCCTCCTGGCGCAGGTATGCAATTGAACTATAACTGGAGAGAAGAAAGGCAATGGATATTAACAGTTTCAATCAGGCAAGGGTACTCAGGCCCCGAACCTTAAGGAAAAGTACTGCGCATGCCACCTGGTAAGTAGGAAGTTTGTCTGAGTACAGCATAAGCTCTTCCCGCTAATGTATTTCCTGAATAGGCCACCGGAGACATGCTGCGGTCCCAGGTCGCAAAGAAGACCAACCTTGGAAAGGAAGCCAAGAAGATCATGGACCAGGGTGGTCTCGTTAGCGATGAGATCATGGTCAACATGATCAAGAGTGAGCTGGACAACAACTCAGAGTGCAAGAACGGGTGCGTACTCCCAAAATTCCCTGATTTCCTTCCCAAATTTATTTTCTTCCCGAAACCCGGCCAGAATTAACGTGAGAGGTGGACAGTTTCATTCTGGATGGTTTCCCCCGGACGGTTGCGCAGGCTGAGCGTCTCGATGACATGCTCATTGCCCGTGAGCAGAAGCTCCAGCATGCCGTTGAGCTGCAGATTGACGACTCCCTACTGGTGGCTCGTATCACCGGCCGCCTGGTCCACCCTGCCTCTGGCCGCTCGTACCACAAGATCTTCAACCCGCCCAAGGCTGATATGAAGGACGACGTCTCTGGAGAGCCGCTGATCCAGCGTTCCGATGACAATGCCGAGACCCTCACCAAGCGTCTGGCTACTTACCACGCACAGACCACCCCCGTTGTCGACTACTACAAGAAGACCGGTATCTGGCGCGGCATTGATGCCAGCCAGGAGCCTGGTCAGGTCTGGAAGAGCATTCTTGGAGTCTTCCGCCAGTAAGCAATTCTGTTGGATTGATTGCATTTTAAAAAGGGGTATTTGGGGGGTAATTTGGGACAATTTACCAGTCCAGGCTCCGTGATGTCTACCTTTTTTTCCCTTTATGTTTTTTTCTTAATTGGGCACACCGGAAGCATGGCTGGTGTTTTCGTCCACATATAGACGTGGGTTTCTCCCCTTGACCGCCATGTATAGTATGTGTGGTTACCTTGGAGTACCGAATACATTCAAGACCGGTATGCATTCAATTGAATCTTTTGGTAAATCTTGTAGTCTTTCTTTCCATTCAGGGTTCAATGCGACACACATGGGTAGATGTGGTGTAGGTATTCACCTAATACTAGTATTATTTAAACTTGCCAATGTAAACTCATATTTACCTAAAGTTGCAGAGGATATTCGGTGGACTCAATCTTCTGAGGATAGATCAAACCACCCTGCTTTCGCACTTCATCCATGACTTCCATAATCACGATACTCTCTTCCAATGGCAATCCCTCACTCTCGAGCTTGCCATCGCGGAGACAACGAGCAACTTCATCAGCCTCCCAGTACATACCCTTACCATTACCAGGGAACGGGCATTGGACCTCACGGATCTCACCGGCACCCTTCTTGGGAATGATGCGGTAGCTCTCTGGTCGGAAAGGCTGGCCGTACACCTGGATCTCGCCTTTAGTGCCCTGAATGCGGATGGGAGGACCAGCCGAGCCCTTCTCATCTGGATCAGCAGAGACACGAATGTTGGTCAGCGCCACACCGTGCGATTGTTGCGGGTGAGGACCATTGGAAGGGGTGCTTGTAGGGAAGCTCAGAAGCATGGTTGTAGACTCGTCTGCACCGGTGAGGTGATAAGGAGTCATCTGCGAGGTGACAGTAGGTGGCTTCCTCTGGTCTCGGGGCAAGGTGTGGTATAGAGTCTGGAAGACCCAGGTCAGGGAGTAGATACCCACTAGTAGAGCAAATCAGTCAGGGGTTCTTTGTCTTTTCATGCTTGGAGGGGGCAATAATCAATGGGCAAAAATTGCGGAGAACCTACAATCCAAGAGAGCACCACCGGCCAAATCAGGGTTTACCATGCGGTGTGTGGTACCCCATTTCGTCTCAACATCATCGCCGAAGCTTGTATCAGCCACGACACGGAGCACCTCGCCGATCTCACCCTTCTGGATGAGCTCACGGATCTGAATGCTGAGGGGGAAGTAGCGAGTCCAGACAGCTTCCATAAGGAAGAGATTCTTCTGGCGGGCAATTTCGATGAGGATCTTAGTCTGAGCAGCGTTGACGGTAAAGGCTTTCTCGCAGAGAACATGCTTGCCCGCCTCCAGCGCGAGTCTGACGTTCTGGTAGTGGTGGGAGTGCGGGGTCGCGACGTAGATGACATCGACGTTGGGGTCGGCCACAAGAGTCTCATAGTCACCAAATGCAGAGCAAGGGGTTGTGATTCCCCGAGCCGAGATGAATTGCTCGGCCTTTTCCTTGGACGAGGACGAGGCCACGGCCACGACTTGGTGAGCTACATCAGAGGCATCGCGGACATTGGGGTCGATGAGAAGATCATTTGTGAATGCTGTTGGGGGATGAGTTATTTCATGGATTCTTATCTTATACAAGATATTGCGAAAGTGAGATCTTACTCTCAGCGATCCAGCCAGTAGCTATCAATCAGTTAGCATTCTTTTCTTGTTTTCTCTCATGACCAGGGTTTCATACCCATAATACCCCATCGAATAATGTGTGGCGCCATGATGGGAGTAAACTTGAGTAGAGTCAATTCAAGGGAACAATAGACAACGTTTAAAGAACAGATTGAAGAAAGGACAAGTTTACGCCGAGAAGAATTTATGGGGAAAAATATAGCGGGGATGTTCCGAGCGGGGCAGCTTAGCAGCTTAGCAGCTTAGCAGGTTTTGTACAATGTATGATCATAGATGGATAGAGCCACGATACGGTTCATTGGAAGTAGAAAGACTCAATTTCGCTAATTAACGCCAGGGAGTTATTCCCGATGCAATGCATGAATAATCACGTTGTTGAGCTATGGTACAAAAAAAGATCATCAGATCTCGGTCTTGATGCGCGTCTTCTGGCTTGGAGATTCAATTCCCTATGTATATAGTTAGCACTTTGAACCTCAAATAACTCTCCCAAAGAAACTCACTTCAGCTTTTCGCTTGCCCAGGACGGAGTCAGGTGTGCTGGTTCGTGTCTGGCGCGTCGGTGCAGGGCCCTTGGTCACTTCGGAATAACAGCTGGCATGATACACTCGACTTCCGACCTTGGTTGCATCTTGCCAGATCCAGTCCTGGACATCCTCAGACCAGGTCGATTCGAATTTCTCTTGGCAGATGGGACAAGGGGTGTTGCGGAGAGTGGCATCGTTTGGAGCTCGAATCCACGGCTTTGGCGGTTCTTGCTTGGTATTACCATCCACGCCTGCAGCTCCTTCGGTGGTGGTTTGGGGATCCACAGCGCCATTCTCGTCGCCAGCCTCCCGAGATTTGATCCAGTCCTGTTGGAGGTTAGAGATGAAACTTGAAGAAATACAAGAGATGAACATACCCTTTCGTCAACATACCAGCTGCGATTCTGAGCCCGCCGGGAGGACTCGGTCATGCGCTGATTGGTCTTGAAATGCCAGTCCAGATGCCGGGCCTTCATTTCCTTGCCTTCGTCCGTGGTCAAGAAGCGACGGCCGCAAGTTCCACATCGGTTCGGTCGGGAATCATAAAGAGACACGATAAGTCCGAATCGAGGGATCTTCATAGACGCAGTGCTCATGGGGACCCCGGAGGATCCATTGGAGGGAATTGGAGTTTGAGCCGGAGCGGGGGTGGTAGGTTGCAGTCCGTGGGGCAAGATGAATGGCAAATTAGATCTCCCGGGAACTGGCGTTGAAGTCGAAGGCGTAGGAGAGGCGGGTGTCGATCCACCAGGTAGAAGTCCACGTGCCCTCAAGGCCGCAATAAGAGGGTTCTCCGGTGCTGGCTGTGGAGGGACATTTTGGTGAGGATATTGGGGCATCGGAGGCATCTGAGGCATCGGAGGCATCTGAGACAGCGCTGCCGGGATTTGGGGTGGCGGGGTGGACTGTTGACGTGAAGCGGTAGCTTTAATAAGCTCGGCGAGAGTGTTATGGTTTAGTAGATGCTGGAGGGGCTGTGAGACTGGTTGCGCTGGTGGTGTGTGAATTTGTGGAGGAGCGGACACTGTCGAGCCATTCGTAGCGGCATTGGGCCCAACCGACGGCGGTCTTGTGGCAGCGAGCGCAGAGACCTGATCGCGGACAAGTTTCAACTGATCTGGAGCAAGCTGTTGTTTCTGTAGAATGGCCTGAAGATCCACCAACGCTTTCAAACGTTGTTGAGAGACGGGATTAAAAGGACTGTTAGCGAAATCAATCTTTGCAGAGGCGATCAAGGCATCCACATCTCGATTAAGGTAGCTCAAATCGATATCCTGTCGATGAGTCTGGGGAGGTGCCTGTGAGGCCCATATTAGCTTTGAATGTGACGGTGACATGTGACACGCAGATGCAAGTAGACTTACCGAATTGGAATGACCAGTATTGGGATACTGGTTTTGAGAAGGCCGAGACATGTTCTGTGTAGGGCTGTTGGTCCACCCAGTCGGAGTCCCATTTCCACGACTACGGCCGAGGATGTCCGGTTGGGCCCTGGCCTGTTGTTGTTGTAAAGCCGCAGTGCGTGCTTTGATGAGAGCACTCTCGATGTTGCGTGTGATGTCAGGAGGGAAAACTGGGCGTGTATCAAGGGAGCCGGGGGCCGGCTGCTTCCATGTGTTGAGCATCTCATCCAATTTCCTTCGGGTATTTCCGTCAACCAGAGTATAGACATTCATGAATGTCTGGTACATGTTGCGGCCAAGGAAGAGGGTGTAGGGGCTTCCAACGTTCTTGACAATGGAATCGGCTACATAGAGGGCTGGAAGCTTCTGCAGGGGTGGTGTCTACATAGTGGTTAGTACTCATCCTGTACTACGCCACAACAAATTCAGGAGCACCTACTGATCGAATGTGGTTCTCCAGGACCCGAGAGATAGCCATTGCATGTTCAGTATTTTCTTTGGCAATGACGGTCAAAGTACGGATCTGGATTCCATCATTGGTGGTTAGATCTTCCAAGGAGCTCTTGTAATCCTCCGCAATTTCGTCGGAGATGAGGCCGGACATTATGGCGATGTGGGATGAGTGGTGATCTGGATTTATCAGAGATGTCGAGGGGAGAAATCAATATCAAACCGAAGTTCAGCACGTGGTCTTGTTTTCTTGTTTTTTTTTTTCTTGTTTTTTCTCTCCTGCTCTTGTTCTTTGTTCTCTGAGTCTTGTGTTCTTCTTCTTCTCTTCACTTCTTCTCTTCACTTCTTCCTTTTGGATGGCTTCTGCCTGTCCTTTTCCCTGTGGCTATCGAGACTGTCTTCTGTTCTTCTTAATCCTTGTCCTCGTTCCAAGGAACAAATTCTCTTGGATCAGCGCAAAGAGGGAGAAATAGTCGGAACTTGTAAATGCTTGCTAGCTATCTTTGCGAGAATTGAGAAAACAATAGTATTCAAACGCTTGCTCTCAGTCCAACCCAACCCGTGACCTTCCAGTGCCCTTTTGTATCTACCTTCCAGTCAAATAATCGCCGATGGGTGGTCATGGAACGAGGGAAGAAATGCTAGGCCGAAAAGCCTCGTGCGAAAAACCAAGCAGATGCGGGGAGTGGAAAATGAAGATTTCAAGGGAGACTACCAATGATGGGTAAATGCAAGAAAATAACGCTGTGGAGTGAAGCAATGAAGGATTGAAGGTTGAAAAGAAAGAAAACAAGAGGGAGAAGGGAAGTGATGGAGTGGTGAAGTGGTGAAGTGGTTGAGGTGGTTGAGGTGGAAGTGCCACAGAGAAAGGGATTGTCAAAGAGATATAGTCATGTGATCGTGGAATGACGCATTCAACTGCTCCTCCATGCCTTACTTTACTTTACTCTACTCTACTCTACTCTGTACATCCCCAATTTATTCCAGAGATATTATTGCCTTTTATTTCTTTCAATATGAAGCTTACATTTGCTGCCCTGCTAGTTCTACCATTGGCACTAGCCGGATCGCTCAAGTCCGTCATCATTACTTTCCCCAAGGGAACGCCTGACTCGGTGGTTAACCAAGCCAAAGTTTGTCTGGTGGCTTCAGTACGCAGTGCTCTTTGTTGGCATCGGACTGTTATAACTTGGAACTGACACTTTTAGGGTGGCGTCATCACGCATGAATACCGTAAGTTCTACCTTCTACCTTCTACCTTGCCCACATTTAGAGATAGAGAATGTCAGATACTAACATGCATTTCTTATCCAGATTTGATCAAGTACGAATTCAACCAAGGTTTCTGTCTTATAACCCACTTTCTAACTATGGCTTTAGTGGCTTCGCTGCTGAGGCTCCTGTGAGCGCTCTCCAAACCCTCTCCACGCAGGATACTCAATACAAACCGAATATCGAAGAAGATAAGGTTGTCAGTGCATATGGAGACTATTCTGGTGCAGTCTAATATGCCCCCATCTAATGAGATACCGGGGTTTCTGAATCTCATGGCTCTGAGCATCTCTGAGCATCTCTGAGCATATATCATGACATCCAGAGGCAAAACCCACGTTGGGATGAACCAATCAGAATCACATTTTCAGAAAGTCCTGGGTGATGGGTGATTTAAATACAACCTCGGCGTTTGGATGTATACAGTGTGGAGTAAATGATTGAGCTCTTATGCTTCAACTAAGGGCTTTACGAGGGAAACATATAGGTTTATTGGGAGTTTTCCTTTTTTTTTACGATCTACTCCAAAACATACGATGTATTCATTATCACAATGTATGATTTAAAATTCTAAGACTTGAGTTGTGTATGTCAATGTACGTAGCAAATCATAGTTAACTAACCAGTTAGAGCATAGACAACATAACAACTCGTACGGAGTAGCGCCTATCATCCTTCCCCCCCCGCTAGTTGACTTCCGTGGCCCCGAAGGCGCGTGGATCTGGAAACTCCCTCGAGAGCCACCGAGGTATTCTGCGTAATCCCTCGCTTTCGAGTCTTGGAAATGCTGGAATTTCTGGAATTACAGGCTTCTTTGACACTTGATTAAAACGCGTCAAAATGGCATCGGAACACACAGTGACCAAGGTTCTGTTGGAATGGATCAACAGCTTCTCCTTGGGTAAAACCCTCCGAGCTACCGATGAATTGACCGATGGAATTATTTTGTGGGAGATTCTCCAGGATATTGACCCTCAGTTTTTTCTTGAGGAAATCCCAGAGCGCAACCCCTCCGACCATTGGGTGGCCAAGTGGCAGAACCTGAAGCACGTTCACAAACTACTGCTCAACTACATTCGACACCAAAACGATGACATCCTACCCTCCGGTCTTGATCCATCGCCTGATCTCGAATCAATCGCCGAAAAAGCCTCTTCCAAGGAAACAAACAAACTGCTGAAGCTCCTCCTGATCGCCGCCATCAGCTCCCCCAACGCCGGAACATACGTACAAACACTTCAGGAACTAAGCACCTCGACACAAGAGGGGCTCAGGGATATTATTGAGGAGGCGCACAATGGCCAATATGAGCCGATGGACGCTGCGGACGAGCTCAGGGAAGACCTGGCCAAGCACGATCGCCCTGTGGACCTGGAACTGCAATTCGAAGAACGCGTCGGAAAAGTGCTTGCGGAAAACGACCGTCTAACGCACGAGAAAAAGGAGTTGGAAAAGGCATTGGAGGACCTGCACAATCGCCTGGCGCGTCTCCAGGAGAACAATGACACCCTGCAAAACCGCCTCGCCTCCACCGAGGACCGGCTAGTTACATTGAAATCCGGAAAAGGTGATATTGGTCACAATGCAAAAGCATTGGAAAGCAAGACTCGTCAACAGGACGATCTAATTGCTTCTCAAGAAGCGAAGTTGACCACAGCCCAGGACGAAATCGACAGTCTTCGCATGACAGTTGAGTCCTTGCGAGTCAAGAACCAGCGCTATCAGAAGTTACAGGATGACTATGATGAGCTCCGTACCGAGAAGGATCAGCTCGCGCGCAAGGCAAACGCGGCCGAAAAATACCGCCAAAAGCTGCAAGCCAGCCAAGACTTTGAGAAAGAGAACCAGACCCTCAAGAACCAGATCAAAGATCTCCAACAACAGCTGAAAGAGTCAGATTCGCAGCAGCGATGGTCTTCGGAGCGTGATGTGGAGCTGGAAGAGTACCGCAAGCTTTTGCCACAAGTTGAGCAGGAATGCAATGAGATCCAGAATTTGAAGAAACAACTTGAGTTCAATAACCATGCTCTGACGGAGCGACTGGAAAGTGCGGACGAACAGCACGAGAGAGACGACGCTTTGATCACTGAACTACGTGAACGCCTCGGGGAAATGGACGGTTTGCCGGGCAGCGCGTCGCCTGGCTCTGAGACGCCTAAAATGCAAGGGACATTGCACAAGGACTTCGAGGCACTCGGTGTCAAGGAATCTCAACTGTATGTATACAATTTGCCTTCGCGGCCTTGACTGGATGCTAACTCTTGACAGTAAATCTGATAATGATGACTTGAAGCGGGAAATGGAGTCGATTAAAGCGCCCTCGGCTGTATGTGTTCCTAGATGTTCTCTACAGGTCCCTATCGATACTAACGACCAGCAGCCTGCCTCTCACACTGGGGGCTTCTCGGAAAACTTTGCTGCATCCGTGCACCTGGCTCGCTCTGGTTCTACCCAAAGGTTTGCTTGCCCGACATTTCGTTTCTATGAACAGAATATCTAACATGCTTCACAGCGACGACTATTGGAAACTATATGAGAACTATACTGGAGCTCTAAAGAAGATTGCAGAGGTCCAGGACACCTTGGAAACAGCCAAAAGGGACTTGTCTGATACACAAGCTGAACGTAAGTATTTTATTGCTCTGGTTCTACACATCTGAGGGAAAACAAGTGACTTACAATCTTGAAGTTGGCCTTGTCAATGCGGAACAGGTCGAGATGGTCCAAGGGCTCGAAGCGCACAACTCGGCTGAATTAACAAAAATCCGGGATGACTGGGAAAACCTTACACAGAACGTCCATCACCTGGAGGCTGAAGTTGATGCCAGCCAAACTCTGGTGCGCGAAGTCTGTGCGGAACGAGAGGAACTGCGCAAGATGCTCGACAACAAGCAAAGCGAGATCAGCTCCGAAGATCAGGAAGTGATGAACGAGATGCAGATGCTCCTAGGCGAGTTTGAAACTCACAATACCGAAGGTGGCGAAGTGCCCCAGAAGTCAAGCTTTGAGCTCTTGAAGCAGTGTGCTGGAGTATTGGAGAAGAACGTTGAACGACTTGCTCAGCGTGCGGAGGTCGGTTTTCCCACAAAAGATCCTCGCTGCGTTTTATCCGGTTTGCGTTTGCTAATTCTAGCTTGGTTCTACAGTACATCCAGCAACAAAACGAGCTGGTCAAATCACTTCGTGAGCGTATGAAGAACTACGAAGAAAACCTGGACGATGGTATTTCCAAAGAGCGAGAGGTAAGTCAAAGATGGAGCTGTTTATGCTTAATCCCTTGATTCTGTTAGATTCTAGCAGTATGCTGATGATACTTTTTAGCTTGAGCTTCAGAATATTATCGACAGTCAGGCCCGAGAACTCAACCTTGTGGGCTCAGCTTGGTATCACCTCCAGAGCCGATGGCAGAACAACAATATGACGGTATCACGATATCGACATGGAGCCAGCACGGGAGATTCCAAGGGCTGGCTAGCAAAGCAAAGAAGCGCTGTTACTGGTCAGTAGAATACCTCACGAATCAAGTTTGTGGCATGTTTTCTTTTTTTATGTTTTCTTTTTTCTTTTTTACATATGCGTTTTATTTTCGTTTACTGGTTTCGGGTGTTGATATTCCCACCATACATCCCGTCTTATTCTTGTGGTTATTTCTAGCAATAGAATATATGTCATTCAGATAGAACTTGTCATTGAAAGCACTTCAGAGTCTTGATAATGTCATATGAATCTGTGTTGAAGTAGAGTGAGTTCATCGCATTCGGAAAATGTAAGCTACCCAAGTAGATCCCCGCAAGAAATAAAAGATATCTATGAAAAATACAAAAGTCTAGGTAGTGAACCTAGCCCAAGAAAGGAGAAATAAAAGGGGAAATGCAACTATTATAAAACATGGTCTCTATACAACCTGGCCGAAAGCGGGAATCAAAGTCTGTGCCAGCCAGAAGCTGAAGACCAGCTTAGGACCTGTCATCAGCAGCTTGGGGGTCAGACCCTTGAAGAAGCTGGTAGGGCCCTCGTTCTTAAGCATCGTGGAGACGATCTTGAAGCCAGACTCGGGGTTCTCGAAGTTGCGGTTCTGGATACGGGTCTTGATAACATCGAGGGGAGCGGACACAACCAGGGAAGCGCTAGCACCGCAGACCGAGGCGACAAAGTTCTGACCCCAGGAAGCAGTGTTGTAGTCGGTCAACTTGTAAATCTTTTCCTTGGCGAAAGCAGATCCACCGAAGAGCTGTAACAAAAGTTAGTGGTGGTTCAGTGATGGCAGACCGGGCGGGAAGCATACAGCGAAGGAGCCAGGGGCGTTACGGGCGGCCGTCCAGCCAGCACCACGGTACAGACCCATACCCTCATCGGCAATAATCTTGAAAAGGCCACGGCCACGGAAAGCCTCGGGATTAGTCTGGCGCTTAATCTTAAGAACATCGAGTGGGAGCAGAACGATCTCTCCAATGCCGATCAAACTAAAAGATATCGAGTTAAGAGGTATCCTCGCGTCCAACGGTCCAATGGTTCTTACCTTCCAGCAGTGGCGTGCATAATGGCCTTTCCGGTACCCTTGCCAAATGCATTATCGAAGTCGGCACCGTGGTGCTGAGCGAGGTAATCGCGGGCGAAAGGCTGACCGCCGTACTTGTAGATGCGCTGGAGGACCTATAGATTCCAAACGGTATGAGTTGATTGTTCTCCTTTCTCCTATTATTTCGCTGTGAGTCACGAACCTTGTAACCGGCAGCGTATCCCAGGCCGGGGAACAGAGAAGTGAACTTGCGACCGATTGTGGCATTGACGTGCTCCCTGAAGACAACTTCCTTGAAAGCAGTAGCGCTGGTGATCTGTCAAGGATCCCGTTAGCAATGTATCCATTTTCATTTGTACACAATCCGAATCTCACCCGGGTCTGGTTGCTCATCAATCGCTTGGCGGTGGTGTCAACCTATGGAGAATGTCAGTTGTCTGATTGTAATATCTCTCGAATCGGAGAAGATTGTACGGGATGGAAGATCATCAACTCAGCAATACCGGCAGAGCCTAGAAGAGTCACAGGGTCACAGGGTCAGTAATGAATTTTGTGTTTTGGAACATCTGACTTACCGGAACCGAGGAGACGAGCAATGGCAGACTCTTTCTTGACATCTTTGGAGGCAGCGCCAGCACTGGAAGCAATAGGGGGAGACATATTTTCCAATTGTGAAAGAAATCCCAAAAAATAATAAAAAAAGAGCAAGAGAATGA